GAGAAGCTGTTCAGTGGAAGAATTATTCAGGAATAATTAGTGATATGTCTGCCCAGAATCCCTTTGGATTTACCTGTTTTGCTCATAAACAAGGCTAACCATGGGTATGAAGACAACATTCTTTGGAGTTCTAATGTACATTCTTTTTGGTGATATCTGGTAAAAATGGAATTTTTTGTTTGTTTGTTTGGTTGGTTGGTTGGTTTAGTTGGGGTCAAGGCCTTCAATTCAAGCTCTATAGATTGGGTATGAATTTTAAAATCCAAGATAGTGGCCAACTTTTGATAACAATTAATTCTGGCAACCAGTTCTTCAACATAGTTGATCCCAAGGTGTCCTTGTCTTCAGGCCTTGAAGTGGACACCAAAAACCTAGCCCTTGTGCCCTACTCAGGGCAGGGCTGCATCCTTTTGTTCGCTCTTGACTTTTTTTCTTACCCAGTCTGCCTCTTTTCCCTAAGAAAATCTTTCCAGTCTCCCAAGGAACCTCTTTGGATACTTTTCTTCCATGAAGCCACCCTAGTATTTCCTTGCAGAAGCCTCAGAGCTTTTTTCTACAGCAGTCCTTTTGGCAACAAACTTCAATGCATGCTGTATGGCTTACCCCAATAGTGATTTTATTATGGCAAGCACCATACCCTATTCATTTGTTCTGCTTGCTAGTTCTGATGGATGCTAGTACCTCTACCTCCACTGTGAGTGTCAGAAGTATTAAGTCTACACTGCACAACTGTGAGGCAGTAGGCTGTGAGAGGCAGTGGAGTACCCAGTTGAGTCTGCTTTAAACCCCAGTGACCCTAATGGGATGGTAGGAGTTCGGCCTTGCTCCTGGGCCCTGGTTCCTTTCACTTATTCACAGCCCCTCCCAAAGAAAGGTTTGTGGCCTTAGGTCTCATAGCACAGGCCTTAGGTAGCACAGGTAGAGGGCGTGACTACAGGCTTCAGAGTCTCAAGAGATGTCCATATTAATGAGATACCTAAAGGCCAGAAGCATTCCTTCCCAGACTCTCCTCCTTGCAAAAGATAAATTTAACATCAGGCTCACCCTGAGGACATGGGGTATAGGGTACAGTTTCATCCACTTTCCACAGTGACAATAAGACTTTTATAACCATGGACTTCCTCATGTCTTTGGATACCTCAGTGGAGAACTGTAGAGGGGGTCTTCAATGAATGAGCTGCCTCCTAATCTCCTGCCAGAGGACCTCTCTCCATTCCAGCCATGGAGCCCCGCCAAGCCGAGCCATCTGTGACCCAGCCAAAGAAGTCACCACGACCAAGAGTCTCTACCCGGCGGGGTGCTGCCGGAGCTTCTCTCCCTCGTCCTCCTTGGCTACGGGTCTGTCCAGCCCCTACGCCCCCAGTCTCAATGCATCCACAGCTCCCAGCGACACCTGGGAGCCCAGGAGTCTGAGACCAGTTGATCCCCACATGCCTTCTTGCTCAGGGGTCCCCACCCAAGAACACTGCCCCCATGAGTCTCAGATTGAGATCTCCCCACGCCTGGAGCAGAGTTCTACAACTTCTCACAGCCCTATGTCTGCCCTGCGTGCGTTGCGTGGAGTGAACTCAGTCAAATTCCCACACTTCTGCCCCCTTGAGCCGTGGCAGACACGCAGGACCCACAGCTCAGCCCAACAGGACCCACGCCCACGCATGGGCACCACAGCCCCGCACACAACAGCTTCCATTCAGGCAGATGGTTTCTGTCACCTGTGTCAGTCTGCTTTTTCTGGCCAACCTTCAAAGGATAAAGATTACTGACTTCATTTAGCAGCTTCTGGAAGTGTCATCACTATCAGAATCTTAACAGTAAATATGGCATATAGCACAACACAATGGCTGTAGAACAGATTCCATTGCTACACATCACTTTATAAATAGAGTTTCCATCCTTTCACATGGTGTTCCTTGCAGCAATTCACTGCAGCATAATGACTTAAGTCAAGCTGGGAACATCTGGACTTCCTTGCTAGAAGAGTAACATGACAGACATTCTCAGACACAAAGTTCTCTGGATAAAACAGTGTGCTTTCAGAATAAAACGACTGACCCTCTGGGCAGTGTCAGATCCAACAACTGAACTGCATTAGTATGTTTAGCAGTGACCATTTTCTTCCTTACAAAGTAAGCGTATTGTTTAGCCAGCACCATGAGCTAATGATGTGTATGGCTACTTTTCATCATTACGGCTTTCACGAGTCTCATCCAACTAAAAGAAGTCTTCAGGTGGCTCACCAGGTGGTGTGACATTGTGAGTTTTCTCTTGCTGTGCTGGATCTAGCCTGAGAATGCAGGTGGGAACACAAGATAGTTGTTTTATATTTACATTAAGGGCATAGGACAAGGTGGCCTATTTATACACCTTAGTTGCTTGAGAAAGTAATTAACTATTCACAATCTAGGAGACCAATCCTAAATTGGAGGGTTTTTCCTGGGGATAGGTGGTCGGTATGAATTCCCAAAGGTAAGACAGCAGAGAGGGCAGCATCCTGAATTGCTCTACTGTGATGCAGATCAAAGCAAAACGACTCAGTCTCCCCACCTTGGCATTAATGGGAGGACTAGAAATATAATGGATGCTTACCTTGTTTTATTTTCTAAAATAGTTATCAAGTTAATTCATGGACTCATAGGTCTCCACCATTCCATGATGTACAATATTTGCAGTGGCCTTCAGTAAAAACTGCTAGCTTGAGGCTGTATCCTGGGTATCAGGTTCTCTTTCCTACCCAACCAGTTGTCTTCCATGTGCTTGTTGACAGTGATGCTGGCCCACTGAGGTTAATGGCTGTACATTAATGAGGAGCTAAGTGCTCTGATATTTTTGTTCTTTGTTTAGGTCTTATCACCCATGAAAACAGATGTCTACCTACAAAAAAACAAATTTGCCTAGCTTAAAAGGGCCACTACTTATGCAAATGATGACATATTTCTGGTAGTTGGATCACACACAGGTGGCTTGTCACTCTTTTTTAGTTTACAAATGAAGTCCATTTGGGTTTCCTTAAATTCTTTAAGTAAGTGGAGATAAATTAGACTATAAGTGGGATGGAGACACAGCTTGAGAACATCAAATCAGCTCTCAGCAGGTAGGAGTCTCAAGTGCCTCTTTGTAGGACAGACAGTTAACTGCTACTTGGATACCTGCTCGAGAGACTGGACAAGGCCATTTTCTAATAGAGTATTTGCTGCTATGTCAGGGACACCCACAGGTGTACTTGAGTGTGTGTGTCTGTTTTAATTGCTTGGTCTGGACAGAGTATGGATTTTGGAGAACATGGACTTTGGTTTGGAGAAAGTCAAGTGGGTACACGTGTGAGGGATGCATGATCACAGAATCTTGCCAGAGCCATTCTCCACCATTGCTGGAGAAGCAGCAAAGATGGAGGCACATCCTTCCCTCTTTCTCAGAAATCACACAGCAGACAAAGTACAGTGAGGCTGAATATGATCAGCAACTAAGATGGGGAAAGTGTTGAAAGAGTTTGGCTGACATCAGCTACCAAAAATGAGCTTGTGTGACTTGGCCTCACTGACTTAAGAGAGTCTAAGTTTCTGAACTGATGAGTGTGATCCCATAGAAAGGGCTGGGCAGTGGTGGTGCATGCCTTTAATCCCAGCACTTGGGAGGCAGAGGCAGAGGCAGGTGGATTTCTGAGTTCGAGAGTTAGAGGCTAGCCTGGTCTACAGAGTGAGTTCCAGGACAGCCTGGGCTACACAGAGAAACCCTGTATCGAAAAAACAAACAAACAAACAAACAAACAAACAAACAGAAAGGCACACCAGGAAGAAGCAGAGTGAAGGTGTGGGACTTGGGATTGCTCAACAGACTCAAAGCACTAGGGGAAACGGTTTAACTCTTCTGTTTGGTTAGCCACCCAAAGTGGATTCACTTCTAAGTTCCAAGGTTATCACACACATCATATGACTCAAGTCCACGAACTCTAAAATCCAGGCAACAGTAAGAGTCCCAGCTACTGCTGTGGAGGTGTCTCAGGGATACATCAAGAAGAGGGAGCTGGCACTCCCTGCTGGCAACAATGCTCAGAGTCAGGAGGGGTGCCTGAAGAAAGACAGGAATCTGTGTGCAATTTCCTGTTCTGAGTCCCTTAACCCATATCCTCAGGGCATCTTGTAAAGGGGAAGGGCCCTTGACTGATGCTCTGAAGCTTCCTTTATCTTGTCTGTAGGATCTACACTATAAGCAAGCCTTTGACTTACAGGAAAACTGAGTTTGTAAGAACATGCTGTAGCCAACCTTGAAGGGAGGCATGAAGAAGGGCTTTGCTGGCCCCGTGGCAAAGGCCTATAGTCTCAGCTCCCCCCACCCCATCTCTCTCTCTCTCTCCTCTCTTTCTCCCTTTCTTCTCTTTCCTCTTCTTCCTCTCCTCTTTCTTTCCTCTCTTTTTCTCCTCAATCTCTCCCTCTCTCCTCCCCCTTTTATCACCTCTCTTCAGTCTCTTCTCTCTCTCAGCACTCAGCTTTGTATAAACCAACAACAATAACAAAAATGATTGCCCATGTTCATTTCTCTCAAGTGTTCTTATTTCTAGAATCAAATGTTTAAAAATGTCAAACCTGCAGTCCCCTCTTGGCTTATGTTAAAGGAGTGGGTACATGTTAGAAGGACCTTTACTAGATGTCTTAAAATCTTTTCTGTTCCTGTTCATGACTATAAATGAGCACATTCACTTTAGCATTTACTCTTTATTGTGTGGTATGATGTTCCCAAATAATGTGGGCATGAGCTATCCTTAAATACCTACCTCACGTCCAGTCTCTGCAGAAGCATCACCCTGTACCTCTACACCTTATAATTCACTGTGGTCCTTTTGAAAATATGGTAACACATGAGCAGGTGGGGGTAGGGGGTGGGGAATGCATAGGATTGGGTTGTTTTTGTTTTTGTTTTTTTCAAATACATATCCGTAGCTTACAAGGAAGCCCCAATGGAAACAAGACAAACAACACTTGATGTATTATGTATAAAACGTAGACTCAATAAAAAGCCAAAGGCACATAAAAATATATTTCAACTTTAAAAATAACTTAGTTACAGTAACACCTTGCTTGTTTTTAACCCACATGTAGCTGACAGTCAAACTTTTGCAACACAGAAATAATATACAGGAATATATAAGAACCACAAGGAAAAAAAAAATCCCAAATCCCGTAAGGTTGTTTGAATATGAAAAGAGAGTAAAATCTTAACACTGGAGAACTCGCTATGGTGAACCCAAGAGATACAATATACAAAAGAGTCTAGAAAAAAAAGTGTAGGTGCGAAGGAAGTTTGATTTCCTTCTTACAACATGCCGTAAATAGCCTTGGAGAGAGACACGGACCTGGCCTCCTGACAGCCTGGACTTGCTCATGTCTACAAACAAACAAACAATCAAGCATGTTTGCGCACCAGCAGTGCCTGCTGAAAATGAGCTCTGACTCACTTCCTCCTTTTTCTGGTTTTTTTTTTTCTTAAATTTTTAAAAATTATTGTTTTCAAAATTTTTGCAAACAGGGCATGATGGTTAAAAAAATATTTTGTAGGAACAGGAGCGTTATTTTAGAAAATGCATCACATGGCTGCAAAAAACAACAGTCAGAGAAGCTCTTTCCATCAGCTGTGGTTAGTTGATATTTTGTTTTTCTGCTTAGTTTGGTACCTCTTACTCCAAAGAAAAAGAGCTGACTCCTGGTTACTTATTTTTATCCATGACATTCAGGACTTCATCCAAAAGTGAGGGCCCAAGATCCAACTGCAGAGAGAGCAGGGAGCCTGTCAGGTCGGACAGGGATTCTTCTGATTTAGTCTTTGACTTTACCAGCTCACAGGAGGCAGGATGCTCAAACATGTCGTCCGCTGGCCAGTCGGAGTACTGTTCAGACAGGCTGGAGGAGTGGCTGTCCCTGCCCTGGCTGGACTGAGACGCGGAACCACTGGAGCCCCATGAGGTGTCTCCTTGGTGGACTGTCTCATTCTCTAACAGACTACTTTTCTCCTGAACTTTCTCTTCCATGACAGGCTCACAGCTGAGCCTTGGTAACTTAGGACGCCCAAAGGACTCCTGCTTAGAATTAAATGTCACTGGTGACAATAAGGGCAGCATGAGAGCCTGGGATCCTCCAATAGTCGGGAGGGAGATGGCATTTTTGAGCACTGGGGAGGGTGTTTCTGTGAACATTGAGTCTGAGGTGCTGTTGGCCCGGAAGAAGTCGTTATGCCCCGGGAACTGGCCAGAGTATGCTTTCTCTTGGTTTCCAGGCAAGAGCTCATAGTTCCCTTGAAGAAAGGAAATATCTCCAAAGACGTCATGCTGGCCCTCTTTGCCGATGTGAATAGTGTGACGAAAGTCCCCCAAGGGAGGACTGATCATATCAGGGGACAGAATGTCCCTCAGTTTAAATTTCTTTCCCTTCTTGTTGTTAGCCGCTTTCAGGTAAATTGGGGTCTTGGCTGGCATTTTGGAATCTGAGAATGTCTATTTCACAGACCGGGAAAAGGATGACCTTCTTCACGGGTATCCCACACTTCCAAAAAGTCCTGTTTGATAAGAATTGTTACATCATTTCTTCTCAAAGTGGATCTAAAATGTGATGGTCTGAGAGATCTTGCTCAACGCAGGGCCAGTGGGTCTTTCTGGAGAGCCAGCCACATTATCCAATCCCTTCTACAGCACGGAGAAACCTGGAAAAGAAACCAGAGCAGGCTGTGAGTACCCACCTCCAGGTAGTGAGCACCCACCTTCAGGCTGTGAACACCCACCTTCAGGTTGTGAGCACCACCTTCAGGTTGTGAGCACCCA